CCACGGGGGCGGGGCACGCTGGGCCGCTGCAAATCCCCCCCCAGCCACGCAGGTCCTTGGGCGGGGAGGCGCGCCCATGGCCCCTTAGGCGGAGGGCAATTCCAGGGAGAAGTCTGGGGCTCATCGTAAAACACGAGCGCAGCCTGCCTCTGCTTCCCTGTTGGAGGAGCGGCATGCGGGGTGTCGGTACAGACATGGGCAAGCAGGCTTGCTTTGGGCTGCCGCCAAAAGTTAAGCAGTGTTGGGCCTGGTTGATGCTCGGATAGGAGACCACCAGGAGATTTCGGGGCTGTGAAGTGGTTTGGGGAGTTGAAAAATGTTCTGGGAGAAGGCAGCGGCAAGCTGTATTGCTGCCAGGAAAACTGTGCAGTCCTCAGGAGCTGAGCTGGGCACAAGGGAGTCTTGCCCTTTTAGCTGTTTGAACGCCTGTTCAAAAAGGCAGATGCAATATCTCCTTCTGTGAGTGTTGAGGGGCCTTTCTGTCCTCCCTTAAAAAGGAATGGCAATTGTATAATTAATTGTACAATTATAACCAAGTAAAGTACTATAAAGGGTGAAAGTCTTGTTCCCTTTTAATCACTGTAAGGAAGAGTAATTTTGGTAGGGGCGGATTTTAAATTGAAGGGAGGACGCAGACACATCCTGCAATGCTTGGTATATGGACTATAAAGCCCATCGCCACATGCCCCCCTGGCCTCGGATGGACCTTTCCTGAGGCCCTGAAAACCTGGATGTTCCCCCGGGCACTGGGCCCGGCCACAGGATGAACCTTTCTGTAATGAACAATCGCTGAATGGTCTATGATAGCTGGCCTCAGTCTGTTATTCTTTTATTGTCTTGTTCTGTTCTTTGGTTGCGGGTGGTTCTGGTGTTTTAACACGCATCTGTTTTTGTGATGTTTATATCCAGTGATTAGCTGCTGAAGGTGTGCAGTAGTGCTTTAAAAGATCGGAGTGACTGTAAGGGCTTGTTGAGGAAGAATGAGGTGCGGAAATGTTCCAGAATTCTGCAAGGCCTACAACTTGCCCTTGTCTTAGACCAGAATCAGGTGGGTTGAAGGGTTTACACTGTGGGTTCAAATCCTTATTCCATCGTAATGATTGCAAGCCTAGTCATTGTAGCTCTTTGCCTAACCTAATGGTTGGGAATTTGAAATGGGGATGTATTGGAATTGGAAAAAATGTGAAAGAAATCTAAGTAAAATAATAGATTATTAGTCACACAGCAGGATTACATCAGTTGCATGTACGATAGATGTATTAGTACAGCATTAACCTTTTCTTTTAATTATGATTGTTTTTGATGCTTTTTTGTGCAAACCCAGTCAGTCTGATTAGTTTATGTTTGGCTATATATGCAAATGGGTGGGTTAATTTGATAACCAAGTGATTTCGTAACGAAGGTTTGCAAAGGTAGCCTTAATGTGAGTGCACTGCAAAGCCTCTGAGACAGGTGCAAACACAAATTGGTTAATATCCTTGGACATTTCAGCACTACAGACTGGAGTCACTTGGAATTCTTCACTTTACGCTCCCAGGCTTTTGCTCGCAACATCCTCTTAAAAGCCTTCAAGGCTTTTAGGACATGTTTGTAACTGTTCAGTTCCACGATTCGCATCTCCTCTTTGTTTTCCTGCTGAAGGATGTTCCATGTTGTCCGAAGACAGAAAATGAAACGGAAAGGCAGAAGCCCTGCTGGGAAGCAGCAGGACTCTTGCGACGTGTGGCTGGATGCTTCAGCACTCAAAAGACGCAAAATGATGGTAACGTACCATGCTAGTTTATTTTACATGTTGTTAAGTAAAGTTGCCGAGACCTTTCATTGTCCAGGTAACCTGGAATCTTGTCATCTTTCCAGGCCCTCAGTTGGACACTGGAGCCCTTTGTGGCCTGGTTCATACAACATGCTAAACCATAATGTGGTTTGTTTTTGGGTTAATGTATTGGGTGAACTCACTTGATTGGGGTTTGTGCACCATGATTTATATTCAGCATAAATTCAGTATGAACCCAGTCCATTGTGGTTTTGTCAAAGGCACATAGTTAAGCCAATCATGATTTAGGATGTGCAAGCTTAGCCAGTATTTATCCTGGAATACTGTATCAAGCAGGAAGTTTGAGGAGGTAAACAGATTGGCAAGGCGCCTACCAGGTCCACAAGCAGCTCTAGATCAGACGTATTATTTATTAATCTGCCCTTACTTTGATTTTGCTGAGAATGACATTTTAGAATCTCTTGTAAGTTGTCTTGAAAAGTCACATATAATGTAGTATTTAGTACCAGTTCCATAATTGAAAAAGCATCAGGTTAATTACTGGTCACACATTGCAAAAACTTGGTGGGGGAGGTTCTTTTGGCTTAACATGTTGTGCAAACCCAGTTAGTCATGGTGTGATGGAGTCTTCAAGAAGAGGATCTGATTGCCTGGCGGGCTCTCTGAACGGAACGCTCTTGCTAATAGAGGAAGCCACACTGTGACCCTTTGTTGCAGGTTCTGCTTGCAAATGCTATTCAAATTTATTTTATATAAGTAAATCACTTCTAATTTAGGATGTGGGATTAACTAGTGTATGCAGTATGCTAAAACTAATGCATGAGGACAGTTGCTGCCGATTCTGTATTTCTGTTCCATCTAGAATGTTGTCAGTAAGTCAGCGTTAAGTATCTTGGACAAACACTCTCGCCCTGCTGCAGTAAACGGGTCTCATCCATGCACTAAACAAACCACTATTTCTACTTTCTTCACTGCCCCGAAAGCAGGTACGGTATGTTTTCTTCCCAAGGGGGAACAAGCACAAGGTACTCATGACATGGGAAGAGACCTAAGTTGTCTTCCCAGAAATAATTACTATTTGACTCATTTTGCACAATGCACTGTAGCATCAACAGACCAAATGGTTGAGGTTCTTCCCTAAGCCATACCAGACAAATCAAGCTCGGTGTGTTGTGTGAATGCAGCTTGTAGAATTGTAACTAAGTATGTTGGCTAAAATGTGGGATCCCAAAGCACATCATTTAGTTGCACTTTCCCTCTAAAATCCTCCAGCAAGGAAATCCACCATTTGCTTTATTTCTTCGCTGGGGGAGGGGAGACCTTACATGCATGAAAATGTTCAGAGTTGGACTTTGGAAGAACAAATGAAACGCTTTAGGCTTAATTGAAATAAACATTCCCCATCTAAGTTTATGCTCGTGTACAAACATAGTGAAGTGGTACGCACCAATAACCCCAAATGGGGCTGGGAGAACACGGCCATCATCTCTTTTGATTGTGGATGGAGTCACACAGTGTGCTAAGCCATCATGTAGTCTGTCTGATTCTGGCATAAGGGTAGCTGTAAACTAGGTCACTGTGGCTTGTTCAACAAACTCTGGCTAGAATGAACAGTGGCTTAGCACAATATAGACTCTCCACTATAATCTGGGGTTGGTGTATGCTATCTAGACTCGTAGAAATTCCATTTCTTCACATGCTGCCCCAAAAATAAGTCACAAATGCCTGCAGCAGGCAACCTCTGGCTTTCTGTTAAAATGAGGCAGAAATGGGAGTGCAAGATCTCTGGGAAATGTAGTACTCCCACCCCCCAGGTTTAACCTCCCCATTAATGCAAAGGGGGCTTACTATTTGGGGCCTCTCCCTTCCCAGAAGTGCCTCTGCAGTGCCTCAACTTAGGAAAGTTGCCAGTAGTGGAGGATGAACTGGCATGGAGGAATCTTGGTCTGGTGTCCAAGTAACAGGTAGGTGGGTACACAGGCTGTAGGAATGCTTTGCTGACATTTGGAAGCGATTAGCCACATTTCCAGTGGGACTTTGGGCCACGTTTTGGAGTTTAAAGGTAGTAATAGAAATATTTTGCCTGCTGGAGTCTTTGTCTTAACTTCTGATCATTTCAGCCATATCCATCTACTGTCGCTTAATGGCTTCCTGTGGCCCTAAACAAAGTCAGAAGCTGCATTGCAGCCCCTCACCCAACCACCCCTTTCCTCTCCTCCACCTCCCCATTCCTGGAGAAATGTTGCAGTCTGCTTTTGAAAAGGGGGGGAAGGGAGACAGGCTTAGGAACTTCTTGTGGATGTTCTTGGATATAACTATTATGAAAATGGAAGCTCCTTAAACTATCATATCAGGGTTGCAAAATGTTGAACCACCACCAGATGGCAACCAAAAGAAATGTTGAACTCTTTAGTGCCATCTAGTGGTCAGAGTTTGCATCCTAGATAGTTTAGCAGCTGCAATAATTGCTCATTTTTAAAGCTAAGTGGAAAGTATTAAGTTCAAATAACTTGCACATACATTTGCAGAGCTGTATATAAGAGGATTTATTATTTCATACTTCCATTGCACCCTTCACTGCAAAGACATTATACAAAACACACAATATCATCCAAAAAACTTTGTCTCTCTGCTGCATTGATACTACTAAAAGGTGTGGAGGATAAGTAACAGCTCCTGTTCCACTACTTAATCACTTCAAAAACTGGGAAAAGGTAATTGAGGAAAGCAGCAACTTTTGACCTTTTTTTCAAGTCTTTCCTTTAGAGAACAGAACAGCTCTTGGTTGTTTCTTTCAATCCCACAGAAGAGCAAGAGAGGAAATAATTGAGACCTAGTAAGAAAGACGGGTTGATCTTCCAGGCTTAATTCAGGCATAGCCATAGCGAGTCTGATCAGTATTTGTATTATTTGTTTCAATGGTTAGCCAGACAGGTTTCTGCATCTACAAACACATCCAAAAAACTGTTTTTAAAACACTGAAGCTAAGGCACACTTTTTTTCCTGAATGAAATGATTCCTCCCTCTTAGGCAGGCTTTATA